GAGCGACACGAACCTCCTCCCCATCGTACGTCACCCCCCCTCTTTGCGAAGAAATCTTTGAAGTCGAAACGGCCCATCGGCTCTTCCCATACCTTGAAGCGCTCACACAACTTCCCTAAGTTTTCCACGACTCCGCAAGGTTCACGGCTCGGGCGAGGTCCATCGCCCCTGCCCGTGGCATACTTGTTCAGCCCATAGATCATGTCCGCCACTGCCATGTGTTATTTTTTCCATGGATCCAGGGGTAGAGGGATAGGGAATAGATCCTCAGCCACGAAATTAGTACCCTCTACCGTGTTCTGCATGCGCTCACTCTCCAATTCACTAAGCTTCAACCTGGCCATGGACATGAGCTGACCAAAGTTCTGAGGTGAAACGTTGTGGTCTACAGCTGCCTGTGGGTTCACGCGACTCCCCTCTTCCGGGAGTCCAATGTTCTCAGCGGCTGCTGGCGTGCCGTGGTCGTCTGCTCCAATGGCCGGCATCGTCGTAGCGAGAGCAATCCGGCCCATGCCTAGCTTGCCCTCTGGTTCCCCTCCCTCAGCACGGGAGTCCAACAACGAATTCTCTTTCTTCTCAACATCTCCTCGTAGTGCCGTATGCTGCACCGCGCCTGCCAACCCGGTGTCAGCCGAAGAGCGCATCAGCGCTCCGTGAAACTCCTCTTGCCCAAGTGCCTCTCTCTGCTGCCTGCTATCGTCGCCAATGCCCTTCGGGAGAGTACGCGTTACTTCAACCTTCTCTCCCCCCAATCTTTCTCCTCTCAACTCTTTCACTCCTTGTCGCCCTTCTCCTCTTTCCTCTTTCCGTCGCCTTTTCGACCCCCTTTGTCCCTGTATTTGCCATCTCCTTTGCCCTTCTCTCTCTTTCCTTTTTCTTTTCCTTTGCCACCTTTGTAAAAATCCTTTTCCTCCCAATGCCACCGACCTGTATTGCGACGCATGATCCGATCCTCGGTCTGCATCTCCCTGCCTGCTTCTCCGGCCTCCGGTGTGGTCAACAATGAAGGACGATCTGCACCTATCAGCTCGAGTCGGCGAGCGATCTCTGTGGCAGTTCCTCTTGACATGGCTTCTAAGGCCTTGAGGCGCTGACTCGCCACGTCCATGGCGGCCGCTATGCGGCCTCGCAAGCACAGGTCCAGAATGGTCGCAAGGTGCAACGATTCCCTGGCGAATGCTACCCCCCATGTGCGGTTGCAAATGCGCCCGAAAATACTGAGCCACCACGGGAGCCACCGCTCCCTCCACCATTGGGACACTGACGTAGCCTTGAGCTGTCATCATCTGTTCTTGCATGTCCAGAACTGCGGCATTTGTCAACGCTCCTGGAACACGGCGCCACAGGCGCAAGGACCTCCTCTCGCTCTCGAAAAGCTCTGAAGTCGCAATGCGCCTCTCTCCCAAGCTCGAGCTGTCGCTTGACTCCCCTGTCTCTTCTCCCGACGATTCCTTGCTCCGGGAACGGGAGCCCTTTTTCTTCTTCTTCTTGCCCTTCCTGATCTTTCTGGCCTTCCGCATCAGCTCGTGCCTCACGTTGGCGTCTGGGTCCAATGCTGTGTGCTTGAAGACGTCTTTGAGGGGAGCTTCCAATTGGACCTTGACCTTGGCTTTCCTCTTCTTGCCCTTCTTCAACGTCTTCTTTTCTCCTCCAACTTCCTCCCTCCGCACGGGAGCTTCCCCGGCCTCGGGAGAGTACGTGACTTCCTCTCCCCCTGTTCTCTCGACCATCTCTGCACGAATCCGGTGGAGTGGATCGTCTTCTCGGGGAGGTGGATCTCCCCGCGGAACCTCTTCCAGGTTTGTCCACCAATCCTCGGCCGGCTCTTCCTGGACGCGGTAGCGGAGGCCGTGGATCAAATCCTTTGCCCAAACCAGCCTGTCGCAGGGATCCGGACACACATGAATCCTCAACTCTTTGCAACGGCCGCCAACCTCTCGTAACAGGGATTCGCTCTGTGTTCCTGTCACCCAAAGCCTCCAAGTCGCATCTCCTTCGTTGACCACGACACCACGCGTCTCCCCTGCCACGAGAACGGGAGACTCCCAAAAGCGACCCTCCAGCACCACCTTTTGTCGTAGGTTCAATGCACTGAACGTGATCTTGCTCAAGGACACCCATTCGACTTCCTCTCGAACGGGAGACTCTGGCGCCTCCCCCCTCGCTGGCCTGCGAAGCACGTCCACCCTTGGTCTTTGAAGGGCTCCTTCTCGATGCTCCACTGCTGCTGCCGCCGGTCTTCGACGTGGGGGCATGGCGGTCAGTAGTAGCCGCGCTCGTAGTCCCTCCACAGGCGGAAATTTGTATTTCTCTCGTCCTTCTTCCGTCCCTTGTTGGGAGGTGGTTCACGGTACGCCCAGGACTTTGAGCGCACGTTCGTATCCTCCCAGCTGGAATACCCCGGGGGTGGATAGTCTGGTTCACGGGGTGGTCTGACCGGAGGTGGTTTTGGCGGAGGGGGGGATGGCCCGTTTCTGAGCGTTCGTGAGGCCTGATGCACGGGATGGCACTGGTCGAGGTGGTGAAGAGGACACAACCTCCTGGGGGCTCGGCACTGGTGAATGGGGAGACTTGCGGTCTCTCTTCCTCTCCCTCTTGTCTCTCCGGGAGTTGGAATGGCTCGGACGGCGCCCCTCAACGGGGCTACGGGCTGGACTGGAATGTCGTCGGCGGCGATCTCGATGTCGACTCCGGGAGCGTGTGGTGGCTCCCTCCTTTGGGTCTTGTTCCTTCTCTCTTCGGCGACGGCGTTCTCTGTCCCTAGAGCTTCTCTTCTTTTCTTTTCCACTGGGTTCGACTTCTCCTTGTTTCTCCTCCTGATCAGCCGAACTCTTCACTTCTGACTCCTTCTTCTCTTCCGTGGGGCGTTCACTGCTGGCACTGGCTCCTTCACCTTCAGCTGGGGCAACAATCGGGGCACTTCCGGGTCCTGAATCTCCTCTCTCTTCCTCAGGCTTTGGTTCTTCCTTTACCACCTTCCTCTGGCTTTCGTCTCCCCCTGTCGGGAGACCAGGATCGGCAGGAGTGGCAGCTCCTGTCTCACCTGTCTCGGTGAAGTCCAGCAGTTGCGAGTGCACCACCCGCAAAAGCTCGACCCCACGGCGCTGGAGCGCGCCGCTCGCCTCCCTCGAATACAGGAGGCCAAACACGCGCCTGAACGAGAGGCAGAGGACACACGAGCAGGTCTCAAACTCGTGTGCCATCAAACCTCCCGCTAAGCCGAGAAGCTGCGGGAATCAAATTAAGGGGGTGTTCATCTTTAAATTCGGGGCGATAGTCATATAGAACCATACAGAACCACTCTAATCACCCTCCAACATCTCCAACTCCCTCCACACATCTCTACGCAGCATTACTTACCCATCTGCAAACCCCCGGCCTTCCGTGTGAACTCAACCTTCTCATCTGGCGCCATTCCTCCACACCATCGAAGAGCCGCCGTGCGGGCGCCGCACAGGCGCGATCCGTGCCCCTCCGGCGGTGGTTTTGGCCCACCAGAAGGCGGAGAGGATCGTTCTGTGCAGAGGTGAGGTCATATGTTTTGCTCTGGAGAAGCTGGGTGAAGGTGCTGTTGCTTTGAACAGGATGAAACCCTGGAGAAACTGAGATATGAGAAAACCTATCAGTGGGGAAGGGCTTTCGTTGGCGAACTGTAGCTCTCAAGATCTCTCAAGACTTTTGAGTTCAGATCTCAAGGTACAAGTAGTTGCCATGTGTCATTGGTCATGTGGATGTAGGCCAAAAAAACACCAGTCTTTACCTCTCACTTGAGGAGTTCGCTCGTTCCAAGCAAACCGTCGAAAATAGACATGATGTTGTCATGTGGGGAGAGAAGATGTGCCCCAAACGTGACCAACTCACGTTTGGACATGTGGTCTGAGGTGCGAGGACGCCCCTAGTAGCTTCTTGTTCCTAGTAGTAAGGCCAGGAGCCCCTAGTAGCATCCTTGCTCCTAGTAGCGATGCCCAAAATTCTTTCTTGACATGGAAAAGGTGTCCTCGCTTTGGGCGTTGAAACTTTGGATGGGTCAGGCTTGACTGGAAAATCTGGGCGGATGCAAGCGAGGACGAAGAGCCACCAGAAGGACTCGGGAGCCGGCAGAAGGATGTGTTAGTCAGTAGATCTTGCAACAATTACACTCCGAGGTTTCACAACATGGATGTGGACAAAAGTGGACAACCACCTCTTTGTAAAGGAAGGCGGTCATCCAAGGGGCCATGCCATTCACTTCCATGATTCTTTCAGGGAGTGTGGCAACCTATCAAATCCCGTCAACTGGGTCAAGCATTTCATCGCCCCACAAGCCCACAGGAAGGTTCAGCTTCTGCAAAAGGTCGCAAATTGTGGGGGGTCATGAGGTATCATGAGGTCATGACTTGGGATGTTTCTGAGTGGTGATTCTTCATAATGCCGAACCGGATCTGACCATATCTGACCCGTTGTTTGAAGCATCCATGAATCAGCTCTATAGAGTTGAGTTGACTTGAACATTCAGAATAGTTCCAAACCGTTACCTGGAATTCAAAAATGGTGGAGATACTGAGATACCAATTAATCCGTTGGGTCACGAAAGGAGACCAACCAAGGCCCCACCCATTGCCTTGTGTTTCACATCCCCCACCCATGCCCCGAGGGGGCCACAATCCAGCATGACTTTGGCGCAAATGTTTTTCGCACCGCGAAAGTAACGTAGGGCCTTCTTTTGCTGTGGGAGTCCTTTTAAAGGAATCACGGCCACAGCCACTTTCAATTGGCTAAAAGTGAGGACCCATCATTCAAAGTCGAACATCTCCAGCAACAACCGCGAAACACTTACACTTTAAGTCACCAATGCCTGCCACTGCAACTCAGTTGGTCTGAAGATCCGGAATTCGTTCTTTTCGGAGATGAAACTGAGTTCTGTCCATGTCTCCATGTAATTACTAAAGCAAGTAGTAACAGGTACCACGCTAGTAGTAACAGGTGCCACGCTAGTAGTAACAAAGAAGCTATTAGAAACAAGTGCCTTTCCATGTCTCCATGTAATTACTAAAGCTATCCCATCTGGGATTCTCAGCCTCTTCCGGCTGAGGCGCGCGCCTCACGGCCCTCGGCCGGAGGGTGGGTGCTTCACCTGTGGAGCACAGGGGCATCAGTCTGATAAGTGAAGTAGATCCTATCCACTGTCAGATGGCTTTGGGGAGCTGCTTAGAGAAAACATGATCAAAAAGCTACTGATCTGTTACGTCTGAATCTGATGTCTAGGGAGGCCTCAATCAGTGGTATCAAATACATGATTGATGATGCTTATGACTCCAATTGAGACCAGGAAAACGTGGTGCTCTTTTCCGAGCATGAGTGGATATGATGAGCCAGGATCTTCATCAATAATGTCAACTAACTTTTCCCAACCTGAGAATAGAGTTGTCAACACAAAGAATAACAATCTTCATTTGGGTCGCTTCCCATGTAAAACTGTGTACAAACAAATTAGCTACGCACCGTAGCTGCAGCTACCAGCACAGTCGTTCAAACCACGTGGGACTGCTCTTGCGTGGTGAGCAACTCCAGTCCGCACACAACCAAGTCCAGTGAATTTGAATGAAATTAGATGAATTTAGGTACACTGTCATATTATCTCGAATGAATTGGAAAACAACAAGCCCAAAAAACAGTCATTGCCACATGTGCGGACGCGGCGTGTTCCTTTTTGTTTGTCGAATACAACAACTCTCAACCTCAGCAAAAAACTTAATCCTAAAAGTGGAACCTCGTGTGGTTGTCAATTATATTGTTTGAAGTCTTGTCCTGTTGCTATGAAGTCGGTTCCCCGAAAAATAGTAAAAGACATCAACAAGTCAAAGAAGCGGAATCATCCTTCAAATATATATAATGTAAATCATCAAAACTCTATCAAATCACTGTCAAATCACCCTGGTATGTTTACCTCCCGCCATAAGACCGCCCACCTCCAAAACACGGTGACACCGCACGCGATCGCTTCCGGCCTCCCTAGGCTTAGCGACCGGAGCCGTATCCCCGAAAATAGGCCCAGCATCTGCACGTGGCGTGCAACGGTGGGAAAGCCCGGGCTGTTTGACTGACACCAATGGTGTTTGTTGCGCAGCTGTTTGACACCTCTCTGTAACTTGGTCAAAAAAGACTAAGGCACTCTAGAGCAGGACATGCATAGACTATATCCCTAAAGACTCGACCAAAGGTCCAGGGTGCTGTGAGGCAGGTTGCTGGTCCATCCTGCCATTGGGGAGAGAGGGGTGATCCATCCATCGAATGTCCAGGTGATTTGCCATGGCAGTGGCCTTTTATGAACAAATCCCCTGATGTTTTTGAGGTGTTGATGTGGAAGTCCAATCCAAGAATTCAGTTTGTTGGTCCATGGGTGACTGAGAGCTACGCAACTCCACCCCTCCAGCTAAGCCAAGCAAAGTGCCTCCATCCAGCAATCTCCCGCCCGCTCAGGTGAAATGCAAATCAGCGGGTGAGTCGACCAGTAGCTTTCAATCCGCTTTCAAGTTCAAAGCACATCATTTGGGAGTTGCCAGGAGGCACATAAGCAGGATGGAACAACACCTCAATTGTAAATTCCATGGGTCCTTGGCTGGTTTCACACCCAACAGGCAAACAATAAACCTTGTAGGGACGTGAACTGCAACTGCAACCCTGATATAAAAGTGGTTTGGTTCTGACATGTTTTGACCCAACTCAATGCTCTCCATTAGCTTCTTGGCACAACTGAGGGGGACTCATCCCATCGCCTTTTTTGCGGTATAGCCAGGGGGGCCTGCCTAGTTTCAGCACATCGATCGAACTCTTGTGCATCCCATGATGGACGGATGGTGACCTCCCTCACAAAACGAGTCGAAGTGGACCAACCACGGACCCGCAGCGCCCATCGCCCAGCGCACGCGCCTTCCGGCACGAAAACGGTGGAGTTCCCAAACATCTGCTGCAGCTTCTCCACTTGTGCCTCGTTCATATGCGGTGATTCGTGAGAGGTTGGATGTTGAACAGGGCGAAAGAGTCTCACAAATTTGATCGTCATTGCCATGTGAGCAGCCACGGTAGTTGTGGGTCTTTCATGCATGGCCGATGGCAACCCGCATCGTCACGATCCCCCAAGTGTTGCGGTCCCGAGCAACGAATACTTGGTGATCCTGGATGCCATTCAGGGGTCTCTGTTCAAGCTGGAGATGGACCATCATTCTGGTCCTTTTTGCAACTGGCCAGGGAGTTGCCTACCATTTAGCAGCGATCTCGTTGCCTCCCCATACTTCTCATGTTTCGCCGCACGTTTTCGCCAGGATGCTAAGGAAGTCAACAAATCTTTCTCTCGACGTTTCTGCCCAGGCGTCTCGATCTTGAAAGGCAACGCGTTCAAAGCTCGCTCCACCTGAACGAGGTATCGATCACATGGTGTGGCCTGCATTGTATCCCAAAGCGAGATTGGCGTTCTGGTGTTGTTGTTCAATGATTCTTGGAGTTCTATAGAAGTTCTATCGAGTTCTGTGTGAATCTTCATTCAAGTCAACCGAACCCATGCTGCATTGGCAAATCAAGTGGTCGTGCTCTCTTGCTTTGGAAGAATTGGAAGAATCATGAAGAAACTACAATACTACTTCCGCCTGAAATGCAACTTATTCACTTTAAACATGTCATGTCCATGCGACTGGAAATCACCGGATAACTGGTGATGCCACCTACCCCTCCTCACCACGTCAAAACCCAACAAACCCAGCAAACCAATGAAATAGGGCCACCAGTTTAGGAGAGAACATATCCGAACCAAAGTCCAATCCATCCATTGGGAGCGTACTTGGTGAAATGGATTGCCACACTGATTTGGAAGCAGCATGTGGACACATAAGTGACATTAAGTGACAAGTGTTCGGAGTTCTCCACACACCCAGCTGCAAACAAGATACAGCCCCGAGAACAGTCCTAACTATTCAATTGTATGATCAATGTCATGTAAACATGCATAAACATCTATATCCGTATACTGTATAGACTACATTAAACCACGATTTCGCCAGTAAACAACCTCTATCGAATGCACTGACTGTACTTAGTGGTTCTTAACACTCACAAGTTATTAAGTCCTCCCGAATCCTCCAAACCATAGCCACAGGTAGGTTTGGTCGAAGAATCACCGGTTATTAGAGGTCTATGTTCCTCCTTCTTCCTCCAGAAACAGGGCACTTCCACCTTCTATGCCGCGAACAAAGGGCTCCGCAAAATGGTACCTCACTGCACTCGATTGGGTCACCGAGCTCCATCGCCTCCCTCCACCGGGTGCGGCTTCGCCTCCACTCGACGCTGCCGCAAGGCCTCCACCGTCATCTGCCGCTCCTCCTCCTCCACGAGCCTGGCAACTCAACCATCCAGGGGTGGCTTCGTCAAATCCCTAACGCTGCGCTACTCTTCGGTCTGGGAGCACTTTGAATATCTGGGAGTACTTTGGATATCCAGGGGGATGGGGGGGCAAGTCCCCTTGCGTGAGTGGATGGAGCAAACATTGCCAAGCTGTTTGTCTCCAATGTGGACAAGTATAATGTCGTTTTTCCAAAGCATTGGGGCCTCCGAACATGGCTATACCCTGTCGGACAAAAAAAAGCAGCAAAAAAAGTTGCGGGTTGGATCTGAATTCGGGGCGACAAGGAACATGAATCAAGCATAGTAAATTTAGTTGCTCTCCTGGTGAGTCGTGGGATGTTGAGTTTAGTAAGTCAAGTCTTCTACAGCATAATATTATATATTTCATTATTGACTAATTATATATTATATACATATATTGGAGTAAGTAAGTGAAATTCTTTGCCTTCACCCAACACCACCAGTCGAATGCGAACAGTCATAGTGGCTGTGAACTATCTTCATTCTATGTAGATCGCCCAAGCGGCAAGACAGCTAATATTTTGTGCTACTCAGTTCAGCAATCCTCGATCGTCGATGACATTCCCAGTTGTCTGGTGCTGGTGGGCGAAAGAGCGTGAATCGCTTTTGTTCTTTGTAAAATCTTTACTCACAAAAGCTAGCTGAGACGGAGTCTCCATTGCCATAGCTTCCAAGTTCCACCGAATGCAGAATTTCGGGTCTTTTCCTGCTTGACGAAGTCTGTACAACGCCCCGTGGCATGTCCAAAGATCTCCAAATGCTCACTGAGCCTTCAACACATTCAATCCAATGAATCGTTTTTCATCCTCTCATGCTCTGCCCTCGAGCATTTGGCTGGAGAGAGGCGAACCATCCATCAGCCTGCAACACTGTTCAAGACTGTAAGACTCAGTCACACACACAAATGACACTACAAATGACATTTCAGTCGTCAAGATGGTACAATTTGACACTTAGTCACTAGATCTTGACTTGGCTCAGGACACGTTTATGTGGCTGCAGCATCACCATATAGCCGGCTATGCTGACAAATCTTTCTTCATGTCATCATTTGAGGCCGCGGGTAACTAAGGCCAAAACGTGGAAACACAGACTTTCGATGCCAAGGATACAAACAAACGCGACGCATCACAACTTCACGAAAGCTGAATGGCTCGATAGTACTGCTCTAAAGGACTTTTGGTAAAGAAAGGATAAGAAAGGCTTTTCTGATCTCTTGAGTAAATGATTTCCAGCGGGGTAAATAGGTTCTGATGCCCACAACGACTCCCCATCTGCAACCTAGTTTGAGAACTCATCCTCCTTAGTCATTTGGTCCTTAAGGAACTTCAAGGTGGCTTTTGTGCATTCCGTTTCCGCTACGCATTCCACGGTGCAGCGACCTGGATGCACTTGGGGGGGACCGTATTCATTGGTGGACAACGTGCTTCCGCAGCTGACATGAGAGTTTCAACGAGTTACCCCAGTTTCACTAAGTTGCCCCATGACCTGAAATTATCAGTGAATATCAGTGATCAGGTTTGTCTCGATTCAGGTTTAGCTCACTGATAGCTGACGATGGCCACTGAGGGGTGGCGTCGCTGAACATGGCCTGATGAGCCAAAGTTCGAGCTTCGCACAAGGTGCTGTACACTGAGCATTCGTGGCCCTCAACCTCCCAACAAGGTGTAAATCTGACGCAGATGTTCATTTGGCAAAGTGAAGAGACTCCATAGTAGTCAGTGTTCTTGACAAACAAAACCCATGAATGATTGTCTTGTCGGCTCCACCCTGGCTGGGAGGATCTCATCTTTGAGACGCCCGATGCTGTCTCGGTTTTGAGAACGAAGGTCTAGCGGCTCACCTCAGCTGTCGTGACTAGAAGTGTCCGACAGAGCTTTTCGCGAAAGACCAGTGCAAGAAACAGGATGGCCATGTGCTAGGGGACACCGGGCGAAACAGGTAGAAACCGGTGTCGGTCGGGTGGGGACCAGCCAAAGGGAACGCCACCGAAGTTCGGCGCTTTCCAGACCACAGAAGGCCTGATGAGGCCTGATGGATTTATCATGATTTATCTATGTGTACATTCAGAAGCAACATGTTGGGTGTTGTTTCGTGGATCCACCTGGGAATATCTCCATCAGAGTTTGACAGTATGACAGGTTCACCCAGAATCCCAAAGATCCGCTGATTGTTCAAAGTAGCGCCACGCTTCTTCATCTCTTTGATGTGCTCAATCTTCGCCTGCAAAAATTGTTCAAAGTGTTTCACTTTGCTTGAAATGCTGCCAGGGCTTTTGAGAGTCTCGGAGTTATATCATCACCATGTCACCATGCCGTGATTGACATCCTGTGCCCTCGAACTGGACAAAACAATACATTCTGTGTCCTGGCTCCGAAGGGGGGAACCATGCTATTAGCTCGGTCTCGGGCTGTCACCAGCTGTCTTTGAGAGGACAGGATGAGAACAACAGGGAACTGCTGGCTGCAAAGGCCAGCAAGAACCCATGAATGGTTGAACTATCAAGAGCACAACACACAAACACATGCTGTAGTACATGGCAGTTTGGCAGCTCATTCCACTCGATAGCAGAACATCCTATAAAAACATGTAAATTTCCATGTTGTGTGGTCAACTGCAAGGTAGTCCTATCATGTTCCCCCCTGATTTCAACGCAATCGGCGTTCCGTGTCTCAATTTCAATTCATCAATGTCAGTGACTCTCATAATTCTTGCTTACGAGCAACAACTATGGATTGAGGTCCAAAATGGTGCAGGCCTTTGTCCATCAACAGTAACTTTTCCACACCACCTTCCACCTTCGCCGTTTTGCCACAGCTAGCCACTCCATCACTGCTAGGACCTGGTTGGACTGCAGGAGCTTTGCGCCCCAAAGAATACCGGAAGAACTCGCCAAAAAATGACGTTGACGTCACCCATGGTGAGGAGACCAAACCGTGCACAAGCTTAATTACTGACGTAGGGCAGGTCGGCTGGAAATGATTCCAACTGAAACTGCATCTCCCTCATCTGCGCGAAGACCACTCTTGGCGCAAGCACGTCCCCACGTCACCCAATAACACGGCGGCGCCACAGGAGGCGATCCCACCTCCAGTTCCGCACGCAGGTGCTTGGGGCAAAACTGGATGGCGTTCCTCCGTGAGCGGTTGCAGGATGGAGTTGACTCCGACAAAGTCTCAACAAGTCCTTGATGAAAGGAATTCACAAAGGACATTCATGATTGTACAGTAGGGGGTCGGGTCGTCTCCATAATTCATGATGCCCCTCGTTAGGCTATCATTTCTGCCCAACTTCATTTAGACGCCTTTGCCCAGAATCTGCAAAAATGTCTGCCCAAAATGAAGTATAATTTATATAGATATGTCTAGGTATGTTTGAGAGATGCCTCCTCGTGTCAATGTGTTCGTTTGCTAAAACGGGCGAGGACTGGTGCGGTCCAAATTCACGCATGCAGCTAAGCGTAGCATGCAATCGCCAAGAGATTGCTGATCCTACATATCTGTGCTCTTTTCTTATCTCCAAATTTAAGGGTCATTTGTACTCCCCAGGCTCCAAACAAACTCCAAACCGGGGTATTGTGCGTGTCTTGCTACATCTCAAGGAACAAAAACATCCAAAAAACCGAAGGGGGGGACTTATAGATCACTATATCTCATGAATCTAAAATCTGGCACCATATTGGACCCCGAGATTAGAGATTCTTTCCCTCCACTCATGGTCACGTTGACCCTGCCTTTCTCGCATCACAGCCTTGGCGCAAAATTTGACCGTGAAAAAAAACAGCACATACTGCTTTGAAGATTGATATGTGGCTAACCGACCGATGTAGCCAGGAATGCTTGCTCCAAACGTGGAATCAATGTTACAGTAAGCAAATGTCAAGTTGGTTGCACCATTGGAACGTGTTGGATTGTTGCCAATGGCCTCCATCTATGCAAACAATGGTGAAACCATATGTCAAACATATTCAAACAATGTTGGCTCAATACAAAACACAACAAAGATGCAAAATCAGCTTGTGCATGACTTGCGCCATGCGGGCATTGGCCAGGTGCATCCATCACATTAGCACATGCTGATGGTCTTGCTGCACAATCACCGGACCATTGAAGTCTCCACATGGCCCACAACCTCAAGACCTCTCTCTTCTTTCAATTGGATCTAGGGGCCAATGTTCCTATTTGAAGCTGGGCCCGGGGCCCTCTTTTTCAACAGCACATGACATCAAAACCACACAGAAAGCTTATTCCTTCAGCCAGCAGGCTGTTAAGCCACACCCAGATCTTTCAGAAGAGGCCCAGCAAACAAAATCGCCCAACATCATGTGAAGTGATGAGCCAGATCAGTTGCGTCAAACACATCTACCAAAATGGTCACAAACAATGGCAAATCCTAAGTTTTATAATGTCGCACTATCATTTATGGGGTTCCACAGGCTGACTGGTTGGTGAAATCGACGAACTCCTCTCTTCCAAGGTTTGGTTTGACCGTCTCTTTACCAAACTTGGTTCATGGAGCTGTTGCAAGCACGTCCAAATCTTCCAGCAGGCTTGGTGTGGCTGTTACTTGCTTCTCCTCTTTGCTCCGCTTCGATTTGCCTCGGGAGTCAAATCTGGAGATCATGTTGGACAAAATGCGTTTGTGCGGCTTGTGCACAAAAAACAATAAACTGACTTTTGGGGTCTGCTCAGCATACAGAGCATTGCAATAGGTAAGCTCCACAGTGACATGTTCCACAATAAAACATTATACTGTAATGAGGTGAGCAACTACAAATGAGCCTTTCAAAAGCAGTCTTGTAGAAACACAAAACCTACAGGAAAACTTCCATACGCTTCCACGTCATTGGCAGCACTGAAGATACCCGCTGACAGCCTCAAGCTTTTCACACCAAACAAACGGGACAGTTCGGGGGTGTCGCATCTTCCCAATCCCCCAGCCAATCTGCAGCTGAATGGATGCCAATCGAGT